ATGCGGAGCTTGAACGTGTACACAGGTGCATGCGTGCGTGCGTACGCGATCGCGGGACGCGTATACGCGTGTTAACGCACCACACGTTGGTCACGGTGGAACACGGAAGGAGAAGCCGAGTCGTCGTATCGCTAGACTGCCTGTCGCCTGTGGCTTTATCGGCTTTTTCTCCAGCAGCATGACTATCGTCGCGGCCGGCTGACCAGGCGCCCGATAATGTGATTCATTTCTCGCGACGTGCGGTAAATCAGGTGTCGCGAAGACAGGTCGCGTCGGGGAAGTTCTTTTACTAGTGGGTACATCGACCAGGGAAATCGATTGGAAAACGAATTCCAGCTGCTCTGATATCGATATAGTCTTGTGAAGGATAGAAGTCTCGTAAAAAAAAAATACGTATAAAACTGAGAAAAGGAAGTGCGCGAGTTATTAATCAAGTTGCTTTTTGCATTTTTGAAATAAAGGTTTTTGTTGCGAATTCTTTAATCGATTGAAATGCAATTTCTCTCACGATACCATTACGATGGATTAACAGACGACTAATCGTTTAGCGAAAATAAAGCTTGCCAAAACGTATCAAGCACAATGTTTCCCAAACTGTGTCTCGCTAAAAAAAACAGTTAAAATTATGAGATGAAAAATCTTGCCAAAAATATACTGATAGGCATGTAGTAGATACGGAATAATCCTATCCTTCATGATGCAAATAACGAAAGCGTTTTCTGTGCGGTTATTCTTATCTATAAAGTTTAGTCATTGCATTGTAATGTAACCGTCTTTTTCTAATCTCCTCGACTTGAAATGGCTGAATGCAGACAAGTCGTCTAGAAGCGCTTAAAAGCGGAGTAACTGTGCAACGAGGTATACTTTGCGAAGGTAGCACTAATAGCTTAGAGAGATGTTCCGGGGATGTGCGCGCTCGTGGGCGGAAATGGTATCGTAAAGCGTCTATTATGCCATGGCTCGTCCTTTGTTCTGATAATAAAGACGGTGATGTTATTATTATTACTACTATTATTATAATATCGCAGCATGGAAAACATACTTGTTTTCCGAGTATCGTTACTCGAGAGAGCTTAATGTGAAAGACTATCGGGAGAAAGCAGGACCATACTAGAGAAGAGGAGGAGGAGTAGAGTAAACTAAGAAATAATAAAAGCACTAATTTAAGAAGTATTATGAAGAATCAAGTCGATAAGGATATAATAAACTGCATGTGTGTTATATAAAATAACTTTGATTTTAATTGATTTTAATTGATCTTAAGAGTAATTACATTAACTGAAACATATTAATTATCAGAAAGATTACGAATACTACGAATTCTTTGTTTTACTTTTATATTTTGATTTTAAAGCCGATATACTTTGCGGTTGCAACGTATATAACCGTCAATTTTCTACGTTCTTACATGATAGTAGTCATACATCAGCAAGTAATCTACCGAGAGATACGATAGAAACTTAAATTATAGTGCACGAATAATAACAATAAATTAAGACGGCCTCATCATTCGTCCGTCGTTTGCCAAAAAGGTTGCCAAGAATTTTACGGACGATGGAAAAATTGTTGGATTTAAACAGCTGCGCCAGACTTTGCTAGCGGACCGTGAAAAGACTCGAGATGGCCCGCAGGAAGATTTAAGAAAAATATTGCCCGCGGCGCGTGTTTATGTTTTCCCTGCGTCGGAAAAACTCCGAGAAACGTGATAAATATTAATAAACGCAATACATATTAACAAAAATAATTTAACCAGTCTCATCCTTTTTAGCAAACCTAATTTAATTCTTTAAAAATTCGCTTTGTTAAAAAAAATTGCAATATGCAGTTTATTTTTTCCCCTGTTGCTTGCTCTACATCTTCGTTTTCTTATTATCCTTCTTCTATATTTCGTTTTTTTTTTTAATTCTATCTTCTTCGCCAGATTCCTGCGATTCCTATCTCCTCCTCCAATCGCCGATCCATCAGCCAACGAATCTCGCGCGGCAAAACCCGTTTCTAACTTGTTTACGTCGTATTCCATCGCGCAACTCTACCGTAAGATATTGCAGTGATCGTGTTTGGTAGGCGAAGAAACGTCCCTTTTTTTGCGCTCTGCTGCGAGAGTTCGCCCGCGAGCGGCTTCCGTGTGATTCACGACGATCGGAATATACTCTATCTCGAATTTTTCCGGAGCGATTCTCTCGCACCGTGAAGAAGTCGCGTGTCTCGTTTGTTGTTCATCTCGCGCGATCCACGCCTCGCGCGATTTGCATCGGCGCGTCGTTAGCATACCAGGGCGAGTCACCACCGTGCGCTCGGCGCACGATGGAGCAACTTGCCCCGCGGTAGCGTGAGTTATGACGGAAAGGGTTGAATTATGTACGAAATTATTCGAGCGACGAATTTATGCGCTGCCCGCGACTGTCTCGGAATATAGTGAAGTGATATTAATTGCCGTGACAAAAAGCCAACGAGTCAGGCAGGAGGCAGGATTGCCTCGTTTGCCCTTTCGATGGAACTAATTGCCCGCGAAGATCGTATGTCGCGGACACGCGAGGATGTTTGAAAAAAATTCGAAGCGGGACAAGAGTTCAAAAAGTGAGAGAGATACAGGAAATTATTCATCGAGTCCAGATATATTATTTATTATTTATCGAAATTTCTCCGCTTTCCACTATAGACAAAGTTACACTACATTTTAATTCACCGTTATGTACGTTACTATAGTACGTAATTAAAGTACTCGAAGATAAATAACAGCTATATATAATGCTTGCTACAATAAAGGGCAATAAATATTATCAAGTATCCCACGCCGCGGTACAAACAAATGTAATTATTACCGGTAGCATTAATAGATCGCTGGCGCGATAGCGTGCCTATATCGCCAATATAAGATTTAATAAAATAAGCAAAAGAGAAAAAAAATGTCGAATAAGAGCAACGATGGATCTTAATGAATTTCTAGGAAGCTAATAATTTCTCTTTCTAGATCGTATCGCGCCCTGGGGCTTTTTTATTACGTTTCAAGTTCGTAAATGTGTAACCGGGAATTAATTAGCCACCTCCAGAGCGAGAGCAAACAAAAATCGCTCGCTTTCGTAATAAGGCGCGGTAAGCGCAATGTAATTTATTGTTTTCTTATTCGTACGCTGAAATCGACACATTCGTCATTCTACCGTGAGTGTATATAACATGCGTGCACCGTTATCATCTCTCAATCAATCTTGATTTAAACATTATTAAAATGATGTTAAAATAAGAAGTCTGTTCGGCATATCCATTAATCATAATAAATATAAATGACAAGTTCAATGAGTGTACCACGTTTTTTAATTTATAATAATATTAAATTCGATAAAACTGATATATATTGTAAAATATCAACTGTATGTATTCCAATAAACTAAATCACACGAAAGATTAAAATTCTAAAAAAAGGATCTCACGCTTTGATTGCACTCGGGAATGATTACAGATTACCTTGTTATTGACACCCCTATTTAATCCGATTCCTTCATTGTACGCGGTACTGATTAAGCATCATTTCCGAGGATAAGATCTATCCTTTGCGCTATGAACGTAATAATTAAAATGCTGTGATTATCAGTCCGCACTCTCTCCGATCGACATCGCGATTGTTTACGTTTCGAATGGTTGCGCACTTACCCGAGCCCGTGTCGCGCGGTTTCTAGTGCTGGCAGCCGATGATTGTGGTTCTGCTATCGAGTAATTACCGCTCGCTTTACAACGACTTGTGAAATAGTCGCGGCTAGGTCTAAATCGCTCGAGGTCGATAATTAACGCCGTTCGATAATTAAGCGAATTCGTCGGGGCTGGACTGCCACGGAGGCGACCGAGAGAGATGAAACGGAACGGTCGCGTGCTACGAGAGCCAGTAGAGGGATAATCAGCTTATTTGCAGCGCCAAAGAGACTCGCGCGTGTTTGTCATTCGAGCCACGCGCTCTGCCTGCCTGCCGCAGTGTCTCCCAGACCAAATTTCATCGTGAGAATTCCGCGATGGACCGCGACACGAGTTTATTTCTAACTTTCGTCTTTGTATCTCAGATATCATGATCACAATTTAATTAATTGTTGCAAAAAATCAAAGAATATATAAAACTCTAAGATAATATAAATCTTGCATTATTTGCAAAGTAGCAGATGCATGTCGTTTCTATTTGCAGTGGAGAATATTTTAAAATATCTTTTTTTTTTGGCAATATTATACATATAGATAATATGAATATTTTAAAAATGTATAGAGTATATTTTTGGCAAGATTTTAACTGTTTAATTTTAACTGTTTCTCATAATTTTAACTGTTTATCATTTTCTTTAGCGAGATACAGTTTAGGAAACACTGTGCTTAATACGTTTTGCCGTTGTATTGGCATCGCAGAAAAAATTGCATTTTAATCGATTAATCGATCGTAATTAAATTTTCAAATGCCAACATACATAAAAATAAATAATTATTTTACAGCCAAGGAAAGCACTTACTTATTTTATTTTTTTTCTTTTAAGTAAGTTTTCTTACAACAAAGAATAATTTCTTACTAATAGTTTTCAAATATTTTGACACAAGTCTTTGAAAAGCCAGAATATTGTTTTGAGTAAATGTAATACTTACAATGACTTTATGGTGAATTTGCGGATTAAGTATTTGATAAGGTTGTATATCCACAAATCTACCATAAAATCATTGTAATAAGTCATTGTAACTATTACATTTACTCAAAACAATATTCTAACTTTTCAAAGACTTGTGTTAAGATATTTGAAAACTATTAGTAAGAAATTATTCTTTGTTGTAAGAAGAACAAAGAAATTACTTAAAAGAAATAAAATAAAATAAGCAAGTGCTTTCCTTGGCTGTAGAATGATTATTTTTTTCTGTAAATAATCGCCAGAAAGTTTTAATCTTTCATTTCTTTTCTAATGTTCCTTATCTTATACACAGATGTAATTTTTACAAAATCCATTAACTCGATATTAAAAGAAATTGTACACTCACCAATACGATGCGCAGCGGCGGAGTTGTGTGTACGTAAATCTGTGAAATATAAATACTCAAATTAAAGCAATGACAAAAATACATAATTATTTTTCGTAAAACATTAATTATTGCGTGCACTAAATTTTTGTTTAGCTTTCTTTAAGTATAATGAAAGAGTTACATAATTTTTAAAAGAAGAAACCTTAGGTATAAAATTTTAGTTTACTAAATAAACATTTACTTTTTATATAATCTAAATAATCATGCTACAAATTTTAAATAAAAATATATTTTGTATAATACATCCATATAAAAATATCAAATATTATACAGGATATTTCCTAAGTAAGTACAAAAAATTAAAAGAGATATTCCGTGACTTATTTAAATAACTGTAAGTAATTTACTGCAAAAAATATTACCTTAGCCTTATTCGAACGCAAAAGTCATGAAACCTCTCTCATTCCGTGAAGGACCATCCTGTCGTACCATCCTGTAAGTATAAATATTTTATTATATATTTTAAACATATGCATTAAAAAATATGTATAAAATATTTTACATGCATTATCAGCATTATATATCATACAAAATATAGATACTAATATTCTATTGCGGAGATTAATAAGGGATTAATCCTAACTTAACTCCAGTAACAAATAAGTAATCAATTATTCACCTCACGGTTGCTCCGCCGTCGCCCGACGCCTCCCAGGCCTCCTCCTCCCCTCAGACCTCTGTCCCGCCATTACTGCTCCTTCATGGAGCACTCACACAATATTCACTCGCGAAGGTATATTTAACTGCGATCGCGCGTATATACTAATCATCACAATGCCACGATCGCGCGGCACTCCCGATATTAATCGTACGCGACACGGGTTTTATTATACCGCGGCGAGAAAACGACGCGACGCCGAAATTACGTTGCACGAAGAGCCACGATCCGCTCGGCGATGACGACGCGACCGTGCTTAGGGCGTAGATTAATGTAACGGACGAATCTCAAGCGCGGGTGACGAAATCGAAAAGTCGCAGTCACTATCAACCAACTTCATTGCGCCGCCCGTCGTGACTACATTCTAACCTGTTGCTCCCAGCAGCGGCATTTTCATGCATTTTCCCCGATTCTGTGTAACGAGCGTTACACGCCCGCGTTTTAACGATTACTATCCCGCGACAACATAGATGTCATAGACAAATATAGATACGGGAACAAAGATTGATGATAAGTACTCGCGGAACACGGTAATTGAGAACGCGATCGTCGCTTCGCTGTGAATGCTCGCGGCGCTCGCGCGATAGACGTTACTCCAATAAATTTGACGCGACGCGCGACGCGCTCTAGCGAATGACTAGCGAATGATAAATCAAGGAAAATGAATATCTCGGTGAAACGATCGTTGTTATAATTCCTACCTAATCATGCGCTGGTTTCGTTCAGATCTTTCTACGTGCCCGAGCTATTCGAACCAACGAAACGTCCCGACAAGAGAAGTCAACGGACTGACCACAATTCCGTCGGAAGATGGTCACAAGTCTGTCGCGATGCGCGCTCCAGCGAATCGCAATCGAGAAAAATAAAGCTTGCGGGCAAAGTGTCTAATCAAAGTGAAATAATCGTTGTTATAATTCTTCTACCTTATGATTATAATACTGCTTTCGTTCAAATCTTCCTACGTACCGGAGTTATTCGAACCAACGAAACGTTTCGACAAAATCAGATCATAGGCCGGTATATATTCAATAGTCGGTTCTTATATTTGAATCGGCTTTAAGTACTTGTTAACCAATCACAGAGCATCCACGTTATTAACCAATCGCGTATAAGCATCTTAAGGTATTACGTAAGACGATCTTCCCAGGTAGCAGAGTGACGTAAAATGACATATTAATAACGTCTTAATTACGTCTCTAACGTCATTAAGACGTCTTCAGACGTCATCCTGTTACCCGAGTTGAAATAAAATCCGGCTATGAAAACCGGCCAATAGTTCCGTGCCGGAACTTAGTCGAGCGTGCCAACTTCGGACCGTGCTCCAGCTTCACACAGTTCGATCGTGCGACCCGTCGGCATCTCGCTCCGTGCAACCCGTTATGGCGTCTCGAGTTTTGAGCGAGTAATAACGTGACAACCGCGCGCCGCTGCCTAACCGTCCGATTGTCCTCGTGAGAACGACAACAAGGTCACCGCGCTTGAAAACGTGTGACGTCGCGATGACGTATCTCCAGACTCCGAGCGCCGTGCGTCGCGTGCCAGTCGACCCACCGCCACCCGCTCCGCAAGGTGCGAATACGCGCCGGCCCGGCCGCCGAATATTCCGTCCGCGTCACGCGTTCCGAGCTGATTTGTTAAGACGACGCGATACATGGCTTTCAGCAGTGAACTATGTGCTAAACTGGAATGTGAACTCGGCTCGAGAAAAAAGCGGGACGAACGAGAGGGAGAATGCGGCCAAAAAACCTGTTTTTTTTTTGTTACTGTACTTCACGACACATTGAATACTATTGATCAATCTGCTAAACAGACAAAATGGCCGCAAAGCAAAGTCTTTTTCTTTTCGTGGTCCAGACGCTGCGGGAATTCACATTCTAGTATCTTTTAGTATACATAGTTCACTGTGGCTTTACGTCTCGCGAGTCGCTCGATATAACGAACGTTATTTTTCGTACTCCGAGCACGGAGGTGTGCAAATTACGTTCAAGTCGACGGGAAGTTCAAAGCGCGATGTGAGACATATGTATTTCGAGTCCGAGCGTCGTTAAAAAAATTATTATCGTACTGCCGTTGCCGTGTGTGCGTGAGTGTCTGGTGCGAGCCTATTGTCGGGATGGCATCGTTTTCAACAGCGAGGATCGAGAGGAGCAACGAGGAACAACGAGGAACAACATATGTGAGTACAAGAAAGTTTTATATGCGATTGATAAAAAAAAAGATTGATATAAAAATTAATCGGTGATTATATGTAGTGGTTGGATAATGTATAACATATGTTAATTAAATTACCGTTTAAACGTTCACCGACGCGGAGAAACGGTAATAGCTGCAAACAATTGAGTTTTTCAGTTAAATTTTTGCAGTCTGCAATTTAAATTTTAATATCAAAGTTTCGATAAGGGATAATAGAAATAATTACGTTTTCATAACACATTTACGATCTGAATTTATTTTGAGAGATATGGAAAAAGGAGGATAAAGAGAAAGCTTCTTTATGATATTTAATACACAGATTTCAATTAATTAATACATACATTACATAAAAATACGTTGAAAACGAGAATAATTAATATTATCGCGCAAACCAGAAATAGAAGGGAAAAAATAGTCAACTGTGTAAAATATTTGTTCTTTTATTACGTTCAACGATAAAAACGATTAATGCAATATAGATTTTTTTTATACTCCAATATATTCTGATAAAACGCACGGTTGAAACAGTATGTTTATTATTTATCGCATTCTTACGGAACGAATTAATTCATTCGTTTAAATCAAATCAAGGTTCGTGCATGCCTAAGATAAATAAATTACCGATAACGAAAATGCATTGCTTCTAAGTGACTTAACCGGTTTCTCTAGCTCTCGTATGCCAAGCCTGTGCGTGATGTTTGATGTTGTGTTTTATGACAATATATAATGATGCAACATCTAATAGCAAAATATCTGCAAGATATATAATTAATATATATTATCTGATTATATTAATGAGATAAAGAAATAATTATTATTATGTTTCAATTAAAGGACTTTACACGGTATTTTACTTAAATAGAGAGAGACGCATACGCATGTTAATTATCTTTTAAATTATATTCCCGTATATTCTCCCGATTATTATAATTTTCCATCATTTTATCCATAAAAAGACGTACCGATAAATCGCAATAATTCGATCCTTTAGTGTATCAACGTTATCGCGTGACGTTATCTCAAGCGACGCTGAATGAAAGTCGTTCAGTGGATCGGAACGATCGTCGACCGCGAAGGAAAGAAACCATAAATCAGCCGTTATTACAATCGTACGTTATTTGGAGCGCGAAGAAACGATTGATTTTCTTACAATTTTCGCTGCAATTTTTAGATAATGAGTTTCTTGTCTCTAGCGATAATTGTCCCGCCTAAGCGCAATGCGTGAATAACTTCGAGCTGCATTTCGGCATTTGCATTTTATGAACATCGTAAGTCGGCACAATCGAATTTCCATTCTCGTTGCGTAGCGTTTTCAGAAGCCTCGTAAACGGCATTCATTCCGTTAATTATGACCCGCGGAAGTGAAAACGGCGATGTAATCGTGTGACGTGAAATGTACACGAAGAATAACCGTAGGGGTGAAAGGCTAACAATCGTTAATTCGGTTTGAAAAGAATGAGTGGAACGATCGTTGGTGAGAAATCTATAATTGCAGGGTGCTATAAACTGCAGGTTCCGTTTGGCGTGTGCTTTTTTATTAGAGGGGAATGAACGTAATGAGGCAATAAGAATTAAAAAAAATAATATTATAATATAACTTATGAAAACGTATTCTTTCCAAAACTGATTGTAAGAAATCTAAATTATTTAGATATGCTTAAAAATTTACGTTTGCATGAGAAAATGTAATTGTAGTTATTTAAATTGTAGTTGTATATCTTCTGAAACACAAAAGCTATGTATTCGAGAATTTTAAAACAAACTTCAATCGCGGGCAAAAAATTGTGATTTTTCGGGGGCGACGAGTCTCGTTCGATGCACACCCCGATTTTCCTCCCGCGATCGACAAGCAGTAGGCGGGGGTCCGTATAATTATAGCACTTTTTAAATGGCAGCCCGGCCCCGCACGCGTCTCTCCATTATGATGCATGGGAGTCGAATTTCGACCCCATCGGCCAGCCGCAGCAACCCCAACGTATTGTCGGCTTAATAATACGCCGCCGTGTACAAAGTGCGGGCCTCCTTGCGCGTATACGTCACTGACACCATATAATCACATCTCGGGCGAGCGAGCGGTACCTCCCGGTCATGATTCATGCGCATTACGAATATCAAATACTCGGAAAGCGAGCAAATACCGCGGCCGCGCGCCATACACCACGGAGAGACATTAGGGGTGCCGTTTCGCGACTCGCGCACACACAAGCCGACACAATAATCATACGTCGTCGTCGTCGTTCCCGCCGTTTCGCTACCGCTTTTCTGTTCTGTTTGCAGAAATTATATCATTGACATAACGACAGCCCCGCATTTTTTTTTCGCCGATACGTATGATGTAATTTCATTTGACTCTGCAAAGTAATAATTTCCGTCGTGACAGTGCCGTCATTATACATAAACTTTGGCGGATACAACGCATTTCATGCAGTAGTATTATATTGTAGATAATATTTCGATCGCGCATTATGAGAAAGTAAAGCGCTTTTTGCTCAACTATAACGGATATTATAACGGTTATTCTGCGATATAACTGCATCTCGGACTGCATGCACTTCATCTAAAATCTTTTTTTTTTACACAAGTAATCTAATGGTGAAAATTTTCAAATCAAATTCGATTCTAAAACAAATAATTTATAGAAACCATTTTTATTGCCTGCACAAAATAAGGCGTGCACTTGCAATTCCAATGAACCGCGCTGTTATCTACGTAGATATTCTGCTACGAGCAAACGCCATGAAATAATTTTTGCCACTGTCGGTACCGTTTCTCAAACAAAATTATGGACCGTCTTCAAGACGAGCGTGTTACTGGCGCGCGTATACGTCTTTATCCCGTAACTTATTCTTCTCGACGTAAACAACAGACTTGCAGTTTTTTTTAACTGCTCTCGCGCGAAGGAAGGCTGCTCGATAGCGAGCCGAACCGAGAAAATTCGCAAAGCTAGCTGCACAAAGCCGAAGCGTGGCCGACGTAACGTTTTCGAAGACAAATTAGCCCGGCGAAGCGGAACGAGCATCTAATCGAGCAGAGCCTAAAACGTCTCGAAGACGATGCTCTATGAAGATTGCCAGCCCCCGGGGCTACGAACCGCCACTTACGAAGTATTATCCGCGTTAGAGCCGGGGTTGCCCGTCGTCTTTCACTCATCGTCCACCTTTCTTCCTCTCTCTTTTTCTTCGTCTAACTTCAAGGTTTCAGCGCACCTAACTTCTTCCTAGAAGATATCAGCCGCCGTTGCGTACTTCGCTCATCTCGCGCGCGGCACGTCGCGATAATTTCCTTCGCGAAAGAGTTATGATGTTG